TATATCTACACACACAGCCATACACACACACACACAGCCCCCTATGTACAGCCACACAGCCACACACACAGCGGCCTGTACACACACACACACTCAGCCCCTCTGTATACACACACACACACACACAAACCCCCTGTATACACACACGCAGCCTCCCTGTACACACACACACACGCCCCCCCGTGCACACACAACCCCCTCTTTATATCTACACACACAGCCATACACACACACACACAGCGGCCTGTACACACACAGCCCTACCTCCGACACAATGGCTCTGCGCAGGGCGAGGAGGGGGGTGCTTTCAGTACCACGTTTGCGCGTTGGTTTGCCGGCCTGGGGGGTCCCGTTTAGCCCCGTGGACCCGGCAGGCGCTCGCCAGACAATGGGGACGGGTCAGGGGCTGCTTCTCGGAAAGCGGAGTCGGGCCCCCAGCATCCGCACGAACAATTCGGCCCCCGGCGCCGCCGCTCGAAGGACAGAGACAAGCACGCACCTGAGGTGTGGTCCGGGGGTTAGCAAAGAGCAGCCGGGGAAACGCAAGGTCCCTGGCTCAGCTCAGCATCCCTGGGAGCCGAAGAGAATGTAACGGAATCAGCGAGCCGCTGCCTGCCTGGAGATAGGGCTGTTCCCAGCCGTCTGCCTCCCCTCTGCAGAGAGCCGTGTGCGCTCAGCCCTTCCTCATCAATATGCATTAGCTTCAAGACACTGACAACAGCACAGCCGTCTCTGCTTCAGATAGGAGGCCTGCTCCGAATCCACGCTGACAAGCCCTACTCGCGAGGGACAAGGCCCACTCCTGTTCCACACCTCTGAGAGCAGTGAGCCCTCGGGAAGGAGGGAGGATTTTCTTCCCTAAATTCAAAGCCGCAGAGATGGTGCAGACACACAGCAGGTCCGGGGCTCATTTGACAAAAGCATCGTTGTCTGGTGGAAGAATCCCACCAAAAATGGAAGATTCTTTCCAAAAGACAGCATAGGAGAAATGAAAGACAGCATCTCCATTTACCTAGGGAGGTGGTGGAATCTCCTTCCTTAGAGGTTTTTAAGGTCAGGCTTGACAAAGCCCTGGCTGGGATGATTTAGTTGGGGATTGGTCCTGATTTGAGCAGGGGATTGGACTAGATGACCTCCTGAGGTCCCTTCCAACCCTGGTATTCTATGATTCTATGATTTGGGACCTGAGGGAATATTTTATTCAGACTCACAGAAGGAAACCTTTCTATACAGGCACCCTCCAGAAAAAGATTAGGGGAAAGATATCAAACCCTTCTGCTTTCTGCATGTCCAGACAAACTGTTTTGAGCCAGTCATTTACTTCAGTGAGTCAGCAGGAGAAAGTCCATCCTAACCTGCAAGCTGTTACCCCAAAATCTCTGTGTTAGAATAATAAGGAGGTGACATATAAATTACACGGTTAACTCCTATGAGCATCTATCAACTGGGAGAGTTAGAAATCTGTGTGCCTCCCACCCGTGTTGCATTAAAATAAAGGATAGAGAGAATATAACCTTAAACAGAAAGAAGATTTATTAAGGGATAGTTACAACTGGGGGAAAATCCCTAACGGGATCACTACAATACCCAAGAATAGATTCCAGCAAGGGGCATAAAGCCCAGACCCTTAAACTGTCCCTTGGTTAAACTACTAAGTGCCAGAAAAACAATTACTGTCTCTCTTTCACTGCATAGCTTCACGGGCAACTGATGGATCTCTGGAACATTGGAGGATCTGGTTCTCTACAGCCGAAGCAGGAGATCCACAGATCTGAGCTGACGGCAAAGTCTTCACTGGATCCTTTGGTGGAATACAGGAATCAGATATCAGGTAAGTATCAAAGTACTTGGCAGGTGTTAATGACCGAAGTCTTGATCCGACGTCGCGCAAAGAAACGGACGTAGCTGCCTCGATGGACAGCACCAGCACCACTTCCTTATATGCTCTCTGTGGTGCAAATTCCTGAGGCACGCTCTGGCAGACACTGCCCCCAACCGGTTCCAGCCAGTTCTCAGTCCCTCAAGTCCTGGTGGGAAACAGAGGTTTTGGCAGGAAAATGCCAATGAAGAAAGGATACCAAGATGTAGTTCAATCCTTTCCTACCACATGCACCGTCTTGAATTCTTAGACTCCATTTTGAATTGCAGCAACATTTATTATAACACATAAGAAAAGTATAACCATACACCAATAACGCCTTACATATCCCCTCCTTGACAGATGTGACCACCTTTAATAAACATCTGACATTATTGTTACATCCAGACCATTGACCATCGACCCCATAATGTGGTTATGCACGTTGACACATTACAAAAGGCATTGCCGGAGAATCTTTAGATTTCTTTTTACACACATACACAGATATAATTATTAGATATACAATCATAACCAGCTGTATGAGCAGTATTACTACAATTGGATGGAGCATGATTTCCCAAGCCTTCCTGTATTCACCCAATCTAGCTTTAAAAAGATCTTCCCACCAATAAGACAATTTGGTTTCAGCACCAATTCTTTTCAATACCTTTTTGATTTGCCCCACAGAATGATGTACAGTGAGTAAGATGTGAGTTTCTTGAGCTGCATTCGGTGATAAACCATATCCTTATGGTGCATTAGACGCTTTAATGCTTGGAGGTCTGCTCCTATATGAGTAGGTGGAAGATGGTCATAGATAGAGTAACATGCTATTATATTCTGCACCTCTACGTCTGACAGGGTAATATTTATATCACAGCCCATCACAGAAACGACTGCACACAAACATATATTATCTCCTGCATCATGTTCAATGTGCTAAAAATCATTGATTAACAAATTTTTACACAAAGTTCTTACACACAGACAGTGACTATCAATAACCACTATAGCTGAATTTTGAAAATACATAGTATGGTGAAGCTGGTAATTACATTTTCCTTTATGGGAATTTAAATATATATGAGTCTCCTCCCATACTCCAGTGGTACAGGTAAAACCCAATTTGTCTTGCTTCACACAGGCTTGTAAATTTAAAGAATATTGCTCTCCTCTTACATGCACCCATTTGGTATTTTCCATAGGCATCATTAGGGAATTGTTTACAAACATTCCCAAAAGGATCAGGTGGTGAATCCTTTCTTCTATGGCATCCAGGGCTGTCCCTAGCTATTTTAGTGCCCTACGCAGCCCCCCCCATGGGGGGGGAGGGGTGACCCCAGGCCTCCGTGGGTGGGGGGGGCTGGCCCCAGGCCTTCGCAGGGGAGCAGGACCAGGCTTGGGGGGCAGCAAACCGCCCCCCAGCACGAGCCAGCGAAGCAGAGCAGGTTGGGGCCAGGTTGCTCCACTTCCTGCTGCCTGGTGATTGCAGGGAGGGCCCGACCCCACACTCACGGGGCAGCGGGAAGTGGAGTGACCCAGCCCCAGCCTGTTCCGCTCTGCTCCCGTGGCTCCCAGCCTGGGGTCTTGGGGGGCAGGGGGAACCGCCCCCCCAGCATGAGCCAGCGATGCGGCTGGGAGCTGGCAGCGTGGAGCAGGCTGGGGTCGGGTCGCTCCACTTCCTGCCGCCCGATGAGTGCAGGGCAGGCTCAACCCCTGCTGCAGTCCTCAGGGGAAGGGGTGGAGTGGGGGCGGGGCTGGGACAGAGCAGGGGCAGGAAGAGGCGGGGCGGAGGCAGAGCAGGGGCGAGGGCTTTGGGGAAGGGGTGGGGTGGAGCTAGGGCAGAGCAGGGCTGGGGGCCATGGGGAAGAGGTGGAGCAGGTGCTGGAGCAGCACACAGCTGCGTAAGGCACCAGGAAATTTGGTGCCCCAAATTTCCTGGTGCCCTACGCTCTGCGTACTTTGCGTATGGGTAAGGACAGCCCTGATGGCATCCCTTAAAGTAAGTATGTATGCTACGATAGTCTCATTACCCTGGTCATAGGTGAAATTCACCATTTTCCACCATTGCTGCTTTTCCTTTTAGAATTTGGTGGCATTAGACCAGATAATGTGTTTAATTTCCTGCAGCATTATACCATTATAACCATCCCTGAGTATAGCCTTTGCAATATTAAGAAGCAACTGTTGCGCTTGCATACATTCAAGTGCTTCTGTTAGATTAGACTGCGGTATCTCTAGTGCTCCTATAATCTGGTCTTGCACTTCTAACCATGTTGGTAACGTGTTAGCAATATTAGAACCTAATTCACCCAAGTCATTCAACACTGCCAAGAGGGGGTTGGCTTGTGAGGAGATGTCATGTCCCACTTCACCTATGCGTGACGCCAGGAACTGCTGATCTACGGTATTCTGCACTCCTAGTCCAGTTCCCACCCCTCCTAAGATCTTAGCATCTAGATCTCTCTTAACTCGGAGGGGGGGAAGGGGGGGGGTTGTTGCAAGACATTACCTTGTACCCACACCATCCATCCCATTAACAAAGGTGTTACATATTGGGCACATTCTTTATGCATAGGGATTACAGAAACTTGAACCTTTAAAACCAGTTTTTTTAATACAAAGTGAGGGTTTATCATTAAACTGCAAGATACATCCCTTTTTAC